GGAATTTCATGTTAAAGCAGAAGTGTGCTACACTGTCAAATTAGTTTAAAAAAAAAAAAATCATTGCTACACAAGAATTGGAAATAGAAGCACCCAGTGAGGAACAGCAAAATCAAACAAGCAATTGCTACGTAGTTGCACATTATGTGTGCTGATGCTTTCCCCCCCTCCATCCCTCCACTCTTCCTTCATGTTGAAGAACAGCATCTGTTTCAGCTCAAACACTGACCGCGCATGCTGCGCGGGGACTCAGGGAAGATATGTTATGACCTCAACATACTTTTCCTCATAATATATCAATCTTAGGGCCAGCGCAGCCATCCCTGGAATGCACCACGTTCTGCAGGGCGTTTCCATTTTCTTTCCCCTGCTACTGCAAAAGGAAACAACATTGCTGCTGGTTTAGTCATCAGATCACATTTATCCCTGCTATAGCCTTAAGGATTTCATTGAATTTTGGATCAATGGGGTTTTTGTGCCTGGATCCCACAGTGCTAACAAGTAGCGAGCTCCCTCACTCTCTTTTGCACGTACACAGAGATTTAAAATGATGCTGTTGGGCAGAGCCCCAAGTACACCTGCTTCTTCTCTCATTCTGTCACTTGGCAAAAATTAAAAAAAAAAAAAACCCAAAAAACAAAAACAACCCACAAACACAAAAATTAATGCAACAGTTCATGTACATGTAAAAAGGCCGTATTAAGTACTGGTCTATTGTCCTTTCTAAGGGAAGAGTTTCACCAGCTAAATCACCAACAGCAGATGCAATAGAAATCAGTTTCTAGGTCACCAAAGAGAAAGAGATTTCTGTTTCAAAAGTATGCAAGCTATTGAGGAGTCTTGTTTTTCAAGAAGCTTAGACTGTGGGCCCACCACAGGCTCATTTACAAAGCTCATCATCAGGGTGATTAGGTGGTAGGAGGTGTCCACGGGCTGGACAGCATTTAGCAATGCTGAGCATGAGGCACATATGACATGGCATGACTACAACTATATGTAGCTTTGGAATTAAAAAAAGGAAAAAAAGGTCAAAAAAAAAAATCTTGGTTGTCAGTAGGTTCAACAAATCAAGAAAAAAAGAATGAATTACAGTAACTACAGACACAACTTGCACAAGGTGTGACAACTTGTTGTTTTACATATATCATCCTTGTTAAACATATTCATGGATCTAACAGAGTATCATTGTGGTGAGCAATGAGGTGTTGGCACTGATACTGCTTTTTAATAGGACACATATATGTATACCGCACCGTCACAGTGAAAGGTCTGGCCTTATCCCAAACAGAAACACAAGCCTGACAAAAAGTTCCTGTCTGCCCTTCTCCTTTGGTGTCATACGGGAGGGCACATACAGTCACAAGTCTCTTTCAGGTCTTAAAAACTCAGGGAGACGGATCAAACTCATAAGAGATCCTAGTTACCTCATTTCTGTAGTGTCCGCCGGCACCCCCCAAAATTGCAAGAAATCGCAGTGATAAAACCTACAATTTCATCCAGACTTATTCCTTACTCCTGAAGGCACCCAGGACTGCAACCCACACATTCACTGGATAGCTGAAGATAAGAGCAAGTGACAATAAAGAACAGAAATCTCTCTGCACCAAGAATTTACATAACTAGCTCCAGTTACTGCTAATTAGACTGATTCCCTTAACTCCTCTGTCACATTTTCCTGCATTTTTCAGTTAGCTCTAGTAGCAAGATACATAATAAATTACTATTAAACAGAAATCTAATTGATCACATTACAAGTACTTAAAAGTACAGATTAAGCAGTGCACAATTATTTTATTCTAATGAAGACCTTACAACTAGCAACATGGTGCACTAGATAAGGTACCTGAAGCTACTTCACTGTGCCCAATCTTCCCTCCAACTTTGGAGTTTTTGAAATATTTAAAATCTTTTCCCCTCCCTTTTGCCATGGAAGAGACCTACACAAGTCAGAGAAACACAGATTACAGTGGAGAAATTGTGTAAATAATCTTGTATGTTTGACAGCAACTTGCAATTTTTTTTCCTTCTGTCTTTTTTCATCTATAGCAAGGATTTTTTTTCTTTTTTAAAAAGATGGATTGTATTTTCATAGAGCAATTGCCTTAAGTGCTTCCTACTTCATATCATATAATACACCAATAGCACAAAAGAAAGACTGTGTACAGAAAGTATTTCAACTATTTTAATCTGTCCTGTGAGGGGTCAGCAAATGGAATTAAGGAGAAGACTGCAGTCCTATGATCAGGTAGTGGACCACAGACCTCCATGTGACATGGATGTCATTTTGAGAGTCAGTGAGCTGCAATACATTGAATCTGGCTGTTCCAAACTTCTGCAAGCACACTCCATGTGGTTGAGAATTGAGAAGATCTCTTGGAATTACAAATTCTGTAGCAGCACATTTATTTTTTATAGTGACTAGCAAACATCGACATTAGACAAGCAGGCACTGGTCAAACTGCCCAGGCTCTCTGAGGCTGTCATTCCATACAACAAGTTGTTATCCTGCCTTCAGAGGAAACAGGAATTCAGAGCAAGAGAAAAACTAGCAGAGAAGGTTGCCAACAGTGTTTTAGAGAAGTTTCTTTCAAAGCAGCATCCATTAACCCATTCCAGGCTTTCTCCCAAGGCTCTCAGGCACAACTCTCACACAAATGTGTGGCAGCAGGCTTCCCTCTCAGTGACTGGGACCAAGCCAGCTCTACTTTGGGCATCCCACAGCAAACCATCACAACAACAGGTTGTTGCAAGCGTGTTGTGCACAGTCAGTCACTTGAGAAGAGAAGCTGAGCGGCTTACACCATGAGAGCCCCCTTTTTAAAAAGAAGAAAGCAGCTATGTACATGCAGAGCTTGATTTGCCATGTGCAGAAATCCTTTACAACACTTGAAGAGGCGCTGCTGAAAAGCAAACGCCAGTTGGCAGTGTGGACGACTTCCCTCTGAAGCCATCCCACATGCACAGCCTCTCCAACACAACTTCTGCAACCTCTCCTGAAGAGGCTGGAAAACCAGAGGCTTTCCTCTTGGTGTAAGAAAGGGAAGTTCCCAAAAGCAAGGGCAGAGGGAGGCTGTCTGGAAAAAGTACAAAGCAAAGGAGGGGGGAAAGGAGCAGCAGGAAGGAAGAAAGAAAGAAACGGGGGTGAAAGAAACAAGGAACAAGAAGATGGAGCAAGACAGGAGCTATTTTTTATATTGATACCCTCCACCATAATATGCATCAGGGAAAATGGAAACAAATCCAAGTATCAAAGAGAACAAAAGCATTGAGAGAAACATGGAGAGAGCAAAGGCCAGGAACAGCAGCTGCACCAGTGTCCTGCTCAGGTTACTGCTCCCCATCAGGTCCTAAACTTTAAAGGCAAGGTGTTAAACGAGGCTTTTGGACAGCCCATTCTGGTCTGGCATATCAGAAGGAACCAGGGTCACCAACATTTTCTAATTGTGCTACTTGTTTGGGGATACAGGAGAAGAAATAAATTCAAACAAACAACTTTAGAAGCTGTTCCCAACAGCCAGAAGAGTCTCTGTGCCGGAGCAGCTAGCACTTACCCACTCCGAAAAGCTTTGACGTACCATTTTTGTGTCACACATTCCCACACGGAGAATCAACACGACCAAACCCACTCCCTTCCTTGTTAAAAACAAAACCAAAAACCCAACCACCCCAAAGTCAGCCCAATCAGACAAAACACCTGCAGGGCAGAAGCTCTCGAGTGGGTTGAACAATTGAAAGTATGGGTACAGGAAACGGACTCTGTGATCTCTGTGACCTGAGAAATTACAGATCTCATGTATATGCCATCAATACTGATGCAGCAAGAAGATTATTTAAAAAAAAAAAAAAAACCACCAACAAACAGCCAGCTCCTACTGAACTGATTAATGAGTGGTGTTATGTGGGAATAAAACACTCCCTTTCCCAGGTTTCAGGAGTGCTGCACAGGGCCCATTCAGGTGCCAACCATTAAATGATCAGAGAACTGCAGCAGATAATTCCTGATCTCTTTAAGGAACAAAGCACTTTCTCCAAGGAATAGGTAGTGTGGGGCAGTTCATTACAGGTCTCCAAATTAAATCATACCGCAAGTGTTTTGTAGTTAAAACCAAAAGTCAGCAAAAAAGGGCAAGCTGGGCAAGGGCTACCAGGGAGATTGTACGAAGGTCAAGGTTAAAAGAAAAAAGACCCCACACCCTGGCACGGATCCACAGGGTGGCTGCTGAGTCACACCCCCTTAAACACTCTTACTAACTCAGTGTGGTTCCGTTCCACAGGAATACGAGCACCAAGTGCTGGTCCTGTGCCAGAGCATGGCCCTGAGTTATGGGAGAGCCCTTCCTTCCCCAGTGAGGTGCACAACGAACATGCCGAGAACTACTGGACGCGAGCAGTGAAAATCCTTCTGTTACTGCCTGAGCCCAGCTCTCACCATTATATGCGCATTCTTAGGCATAAAGCAGAAGCGGGCATCGCCTCTGCTGTCATACATAAACATAAATATGCATACGCATACACATGCCTCTACATGTATGTATATCCACGTGCAGAAATTATACCTACAAATGTGTATATATAGATATATAGCAATATCACATTATACACTGCTCTCACTGCACTCACCTCACTTCAGGCATTATTGTATACATGCACATATTCCCCCTCTCCACATTCAAACTAACATTACAGTTTTGGCTGTCTCCATGGAGAAGCTGGGAAGGAGAGCATTGCCTACCAGTATCATATTAGGACAGAAAGTCTCAGGACATGGTCAGTCCTCAGATATTCTCCTCCAAGGAGGAGAAATGCACTTTTCGATTCCCTCCTCTTCCTTCCCTTAACCCTCCCTTCCACCTTCTCCTCTCCTCCCTCTCCAGTAGCATAAGAAAAATTACAGCACATTTTGGGATAAAAATGGCTAAAACAGAGTGAATGACTTGATATTTTAAGGTAGCATCAGCTGCAAACTAAACCACAACGGAGCGGCAGGTAGCCAGCAGTACCTCCGAATGGCCCACATGGCTTTGCTGGGCACAGAAAGGCCACTGCTCCGCTGGTCCTCAGGTGATGCCGGGTGGCAGGAGCTCCAGGTGCCCCGGTGAGCAAAACGATGCTTCCCATTCTCCCGGCCAGCCGGAGGGACCTGCAGTGAGGCAGAGGGAGAAGCCGTGCGCTGCCGGGCAGGTCTATGGTGGATCCCCCCATTTCTCCTGATTTTGCACACAGAAAAAAGGGAAAAAAGAAGGGAAAGGGGAAAGAAAAGGATTTAAGGATTTTTATTTTTCACGTTTACTTATCAAAAGGTTGAACATCATGAAAAACAGCACAACTTGGTATCTAACTACAACAGATGACATCTTATTTAATCCAAATACAAAGCCTTTGTGTGCTGGGAGGACAGGATTTATTAGTTCCTAACTAGATCTACAGGAAGAGACCCAACAGCAACAGAAGATGAGCACTCCCCTATCAAGCTGTTCTCTGGACTTCTGGTAAAATGGGAATCACTGTGAGGAAGAATATGGTGCCATTCCTAATTTTTTGCTGCAGAAAATAATTGGTGTTCTGCCTCGTTTAAACAGAAAACAAATCTGTACAGGTTTGAGGAAGGAGCAGGAGGAGATGCGTTTCAGCAGCATGTAGAAGGCTGCTGGTTTTCTGCTGCCCCCTAAAAAAGTCAAATACAGTCATAAAATCCTGAGCACCACAAACAGACAGGAAAGTGCACAATACATGCAATCAGAGCAAATATGAAAATGCAGCACATCTGGACTGCAGACCTTCAATTCCTGCAAGGTAAATAACTGCCACATCTAGGCAACTGGATGCCACTGGAATGTGAACCTATGGGAAGGAGGAGACTGAGGGGAGGGGGAAGGTGGAGGGCACAGATTTTTCCCCAATTAATTAACATTTGTGTTACCTTTAGCCAGGCAGCTCCTGGAACACTCCTGGCAGACTGTAAATGCAAGTGTTAACAAGCGTGCAGGCTGTCAGTCCCCAGAAAACTACTCGCTGACTACTTGCCCACCATTATGAATTACTCATCCAGTCAAAATAGGAGAAATCCTCTGCCGATCCATTGCACCTGCCCTCTGATCGCTATGCCTGCTAGAGGGGCCAGAGGGAGGGCACTGGGGCCTGAAACATGGTCAGTGCCCCATTAGGACCTAGAGGAAGGGCTGACAGGGGAGGGAAGCCAGGACACTCCTGAAAGAGGAGGGTCCCTCTTCTCCTCCCTACATTTGCTGCTCTCGGGTTGTGCCAGTTCTGGCGCTCTCCAAACCCTCCTGGGAGGTGATTTAATTCACTACTGCAGAAACACAAATTCAGTGTCCTTTTTTATAACCTAGATACACTAGCTCACGCACGGGTGTGACAGGCTCCAGAGCCTGTGGGGCAACACCGGTGGGAACGTGAAAAGCGACGGCCGGAGCGAGACCTCCCGTTCTCAGTGGCAGTGAGCTCTTACGTTCATTTGTCGATAGATCTGCACCAGGTACAGTTTGGGAGAGAAACGGATTAAAAACCAACTTCTGTCAAACAAAAGACTTCTGACTTTTAATGGAGATACAGAATAGCATAGTTATTTGTGACACTAAGTGCGTGAGGGATACAAACTTCAAAGTATTTCCTTTTTCTCCAGTGACTGCTGAGAGCTGCTAATTATTCCAATCATTCCAGAACTGGCTGGATATTTTCCCTCTTTTTCCATTCTGTACGGACAAAAAGGATCAAACCTGATTTTACTACTAAACATCATACGGTATTTCTACAACCATGACATTGTGACTAAATAATCAAGCAGACGTTGCAAATAGAGGAGTTAAGCCAGCAAAATTTTAAGATGTCAGAACTCCCACAGAAAAAATAAATGTTAGTCTTGCCAGAGTGAATTGAGCATTGTAGATATCAGTTCTCCACATCTGGTCTACCTATCAAGCAAAAGTTATCAGACAGCAACAGAGTAACAAAAGAAACCAAAAAAAACAAAAAAAAAAATCAAAACACCACACCACCCAAAAAAAACCCCAAACCAAACAACCAGAATGAAACCATGGTGCCCCCCAAATTTGTCAAATGTGTGCCATCTAATTCAGTGGGGTAAGTCCATCTCCCATGGTGATGTATATAATAATATATATTTTGCACACACAGGTGGCAACACTTGAAAAGCACAGCGAGCATAACAAGTTACTTACAGTTTGAGTCCATTGCAGGAGAGGGAAAAGAAGTCATAAACCAAGCACACACCAAACACAGTGACTCCAGTTTCTTTCACCAGCATTGCACACGTCCCAAGGAATAAACTAAGCAGCAAAAAGAATGGGGAGGCAGTGGGAGGGAAATGTTCCCCAACATAAAGCTGATCCACACTCCTGAAAAATAGATTTGACATAAATATTTTAACTTCTCTGTTATTTTCATGTTTACTACATTCACGCAAATACTGAGACACTGTTCCTTAATTTCTTAAGATGCTGGTAGTAAGTGACATGAACAATCTACACTGTTAGCTGATAAATGAGGCAAGGTTTAGACACAGGACAGGAACACAAATATTGAGAGGTGCACCAAGAATTTGAGCAGAGGAGGGAAAAAAGACAAGCAGAAAGATATAGTGGACTTGAAACAGAGGAAGGCAGAGTAAGTACAAGGTCAGAAAGGGCAGAAAAACACCTGCTTTCTGTCATCTGGAACACACATGCTTAATTCTCCTTATGTGACAAAATGCATTATGCAAGCAAAAATTCCTCCATCCCACCCACACTCCCCTGAGTCAAAGATGTGTCTTAATCATTAATAGACTGGGCAGCAAGTCTGTATGAGAGGGAAGAAGGTAAGAAAGAATCAAAAGCAAACAAGCCAACTCCTGTGGGGTCACCACCAGTTTCATGCCTTTGAAACCTTCTGATGAAAACAGTGCTACGGATTTGTAGCAAACAGCCCAAGCGGGATATAAGCAGTTTTTCCATGCGGCCATGACGACATGGTGCTATTCATAAATGAAATAACAATACAAAAGGGGCAGAAACCCCGTCCGAGTAAAGCTATTTCTTTAGCTGTACTTGTTCAGTCACAGTTTTAGGACAGAGACCAGCAAAGGGTGCCAAGTTTTCATCTGAAAAGGATGACTAACGGTCTAGACATGATCCTTAACTCTCCCAGACCAGGTATTTTAGAGTCCCACAGTCACAGCGTGTATTTCAAAGGCAGGCACGTGGCCATCCGTTCTTCACTCTACATACAGATAATCTGCCTTCAGTTGAAAACATTTCTTTATCATTTTTAGCTCTACAAGCTCTCCTCTAGTGTACGGTCAGCTGTCATATAATTGGAGTAGGGGACCTTAAATGTTGACTTCTCTTTTTATGTTTATTTGTTCTCATAAGCATCACTTATTTGGCACCGCGGCTGAAAGCAAGGGCCAGGGCACTTCCACGCAGCAGTGCTGCGGAAAATAACTCTGCCAACAACAACCAAAAGCTGACAGGTTTCCCCTTTGTCGTATCCTCAGACTAGAGCATCTCATGATATTATCACAACCGACAGCAAGGACCCATACCTATTATAGGAGAGAAAAGCCAACAGAAAGAGTAGGCAGGCTAGGACATCCGCTCTGCCTACTATACCTGTTACCTAAAAGGAAGAGAGACACACAGGTGTAAAAGCAGATACACAAAAAGGCATGAGCATTCAGTGACTGTTTCAACAATCCATGCTAACTATTTTAAGCTTTTTAATCTTTCAGTGTCAAACTCCCTCAATACAGTGAGATGTTACTTGTTTCGTGTGCTCAGTTAGTATGCTCAGTTTTGCCTGCTGCATTTCGCACTTGGCAAAACAAATGAGTAAGCCAACAGTCATTCTTTACTTTCTTATTAAAGCATTAATAAAGTTGCATAGAGAAATGCCAGTTTTAGGGATCTGTTTTATTTTTATATAATAAGACTCAACTGAGAAATGCACCCAACTCCCAGAACTGAGATTTGTTAAAGACAAAGACTAATGAAAGAACAACTCTTTGGAAAAGACTTATTATATAGGCATGAGTTAATAATTAATATTTGAATGAACTTTATCACCATAAAGTGAGAGTGGCATGTAAATTATTCTCTTTCTGAATAATCTGAGTTTATGAGAGTTTTTTCTACATATTAATTAACCAAATTTTCTTATAAGAAAGGGAATACTGAAGAAGAATGTATAAACACTTTTTACAAGCTATTGCAATATTCCATTTCATAAAGATCTAAAAATTGCCCATAAAGCAAATAAAAGGCCCTTTGAAATTTTCCCTCTTTTGAGATTACATAATTAAGCTATATTCAGTGCTCTGGCATTTATTTTAACCTTTTTAAGTTCTGACCCAGACAAAAATAAATTCAAAGGGTGCCTCTTCTAAAACCTCCCTTATAATATAAAGCTGTATTATCAAAAGGAGCCTAGCTGATTAGTTCACACAAGACAGCACGGGGAGCAACTCTAAAGCTTGTGGCTTTTTGTTATTAAGGTAATCTCTCCTCAAAAGTTCTCAGCCGTGGCAGCGGTTTCCCTCGCTCATAACGAGAGCATGTGATGTCAATGGTATCTCAGCTAATGAGTGCATTTCCTTTTTTTTAAGTACGGATAGCTAGCTAGGCATTGCTTTTCCTTCTCAAAGACAGCAAGACTCATTTTATCTACAGAATTACCTCTCCACGCTAACAGACTGCAGTTTTAGCATGACTATGTCTTTAAATGTTTCCTTATAATGAACAGAAAAACGTCCAATATGAGCTCTTGCTCTGTAAACTTACCATGACATTTATTAAGCTAACAAGTTTTTTTCTGAAGATGACACTCCTAGCTTTTAATTGAAATCAATATACATTAATCCATGGGTCATGTCACCTCTATTTGAGCGATCTCCTCCAGAATACACACTAACGCTCCCTTCACTTTTTCTCCCTTAAATTGATGACTATAGGAGATGACTGAAGGCATGCAACAATGTCCCAGCAGGAGAGCGCGGCCTCACCAAGGTCTTTCGTTTCAGAAGACTCGACATTTTCATCAGCTGAATGACTGTCCATTTATTCCCAGCATCACTGATTAGGACCGTCAATTAGAATTTAGTGCCAGAGTGGAAAGATGGCAAGTATGAATACACTTCTTTCTTAATGACTCCTGTGAACTATTTTAAATATAATATATTCTCACCTTTGTTCCTCCACAGCAAAAAATCACAAGTACCGTATTCTGTATGACTCAGAGGTTTCTTTAAAAAAAGATAAAATTTAAAGTATGCATTTATTTTTAGCTTCTATGTCACCAGGTTTTTTTGTGTCACATACTTACAGCCTCGGTGTGAATGGGATGCACAGCAAAGACCAGTGCCGTGACAAAAGCAAGTCGACAGTCCTTGAACACAGCTTTGTCACAAGTGTACATCAGCACAAGAGTCACTAGACAGTGTAAAATTACATTCACTGCATGGAAATAGAAGGGGTTCATACCAGCCAGCAATATGTTTAACCTGTAAGGAAACAAAATGGAACCATTACTACACTGGAGAGGTCTTGTAATAGCAGGACATCTTTCAAATACTCTGAATTATGCTTTTTGCCTGATTTGCAGTCTTCTAATGTAAGTGCTATTAAACGAATTAGTGAAAATCACTCTGAACTTCTGGTTTATCTGATTAAAGAGAAACCACTTCCCCAATTTTAAAAATAAGTGGCTGAACTTGGCAACCTTCTTGACACCGAGATGGCAGAGGCTTGTGCCCTCCCAGTAGAGTTTACTGCAGTGAGATGACATCTGTGCTTCCTTAGCAGCAATTAACACCGTCCAACATCGGAAGTACGGCACTTGTCCTGTTTCCCTGTTGGCACCTTCTGCGGTTGTCTCAGCCATGTGGCAGCTTTACAGTCCAGGTCGTTGTCTTCTACTATGGAGTAGATGCTTTTGCTTGGGAACAGCCAAGACAAGGACTCGGTAAGGGGCTGGAGCATCTGCTTGGCCTTACAGGTGCATTTAATCCCATTTAACTTTCAAAATACTTTCACATACTGAAGGTTAAGCATTTATTTAAATGCTTTACTGACATCAGGACTACACTAAGAAGCTGGTCTAATAGCATCATTTTTATAAAGACATTGATGTTAAAGGTAGTAAGTTAGCTAACATCACCCTAGACTCAATGAGACAATTAGGGTTCGTTATTTGCGTCGATCATAAAAAAACAAATATTACAAGCTGTTACGACATTTGTTTTACAGCGTGTATTAACACATTTTTCTGGTCACTGTTTTTTACAGCCAGCTTGCTTAACAGCTGCTGACAGGCTTGGCCTTACATGCAGTTGAAGATAACCCAATTCTCTTTAGAAGTAACTGCATCTGTACATTTGGACAAACATATATATACACACACATATACATTGTGTCTCTATCTAGGGAAGACTCCATATATGAACAAGGAATTTGGAAGTACTAATGTTAAAGGACATTAAAAAAAAAAAAACCCCAATAGACAAGACACCCAGTGAAAAAAAGACTCAGTCTAAATATTTTGCATGTAGCTGTAAACATGCTAAAGGGACAATAATCCTTCCTGTTGTTACTAACAGACTCCAGGTCTCCCATGACATACAGGACACAACAGCAAAGCCACTGAGCACCTTAGGGTTTTTTGTAAGACAGAGGAGTGTCTGCAAGGGCCAGACAACATATGCTTTTTATAAATACTCTCTACATTCCTTACTCATAAGCAACAGAGTGCTATCTGTCCTGGGCTATATTTTCCAGGCCAATCTAACTTTACCAGACCAGAAGACTTACTTGTGCATTCCTGCTCTGCTCCCACTGGAGCGTTTGTGAAGGCAAAAGCTGAAACCCAGAGAGTTTGGGAAAAGTGAGATTTTAGCATGACTCGACCTTTCCCTTTGAAGTATGGGTTGATGCAGCTACATTTTGACAAGACATCAGCCTGTGTGATTCAAGAATACATGAAGAGTCGGGGCTTTTTCTTCCCCTCCCCCCCCATTTCTCCTGCAAGCCACTTCAGGGCAGCAGCATACATCACTTTCCCTCCTGTCTACCAGCACAGAATGACAAACTACAACAAATGTCAGTAACAGACACCCAGACAGAGTTTCAGCTGTAAATACACTGCAGCAGCAGGAACCCCCAGGCCTAAATCTTCTTTTCAGCAGACTTTGGGGAGCAAGGGGCAGCACAGGGCCACCCTGCCCCAAAGCAGCCAAAGTTCCCGCTCAGAGGCAGCTGCAGATGTGTGCAATGGCAGGGACCACCTGCAGGACCAGTGCTTTATACAAATGAATCATTTCTGGCTGTAAACCAGCCAGACGGAGCACAGTCGTCACCATCGCTCTCCCCCCAAATGCCAAAGTGTGCTCTGGCAACCTGATTGCTGGAGAAAGCGGATGCGGGCAGGTGAAGACAGGTGCTCAGGCTAGCAGGTGATAGGAACCCATGCACCAAAATGTGAGAGATTCTCATTTATTTATTTATTTGGCCAAGATGTGAGGACCAATCACTAAAAACACGATATCTGACAACATTCTTTAAAAAAAAAAAAAAAAAATCTTTTATTGGTCTCCATGCATCACATCTGATGACTTCCCACCCTGCAAAACAGGTCTACTGGCAGGAGAGGCAGAACCTTGTAGGGGATGGATCTTCCTGCCCCCATCAGGTCACCAATCCCAAAGGCAGGGTGTGCTCTTCACACCCCTTGTTGAGGCAAACATCAAGTCAAAAAGGCTTGTAAACTGTGAATTACCTGATGTAAGTTCCTGAAAACAGTTATGTAAAAGCATCAGCCTCACAGCTTGGCTATTCCCCTTTAAAAAAAAAAAATACAAAGGCAGAACAAAACACAAACATAACAACACCATGGTATTCAGATCAGCTTTCCATTAAACAGCAAAATCTGACTGCAAGCATGCCTCAGTGTATGTTTTAAATACCATCTTTGGTGGTCCATGAACACTAAACGTGAATACGTGCAGGTGCTATATTCACACCAGTGTTTTTTGCTGCTAAAGCTCTTTGTCATAAGAAATTAGGCCACACGGCAATGAAGGAAACATTCTTTTGTCCGGAAACAATCCCAGCAGAATGATTTTGAAACGTTAGCAGTGGTTGAGTTTATTGTACGTCAACCTGCTGAGCAAATCTGGGGCTCCAAACAGCTCTAATCCAAACCACAAGAACTTTACAAAGCTCCCCAGCACGCTCATCCACCCATGGGGGACAAAAAGCAGCCTACTATGGAAAGCCAAATTTGATCCACTGCAGAGCAACTACGGAGTAAATTCTGGGCAAGGGAGCAGGAAGGGATGGGTAAATCAACAAAAATAACCTCTCCCTTCTTAAACTTTAATACACTTACAGAGATTCAGTCTTGTCTTTGTCTACTGGCAGCAGCATTATCAGAGTCATGTAGTAATTATACACGGTATACAGCTCAGCAAACAAAGCAAGTAAAACAGAGATAGGAATCTCAAAATTAAGTAAGAAGTGGTGTTTCTCCAACATGATGTTCATGAACAGAAGCTCTGAGGCAATAACTGCACTCCGTTACAGGAGGGGAGGTTTGTCCTTATGTTTCCATATCTAAACTGGCTCACAAATTGGGAAAATATTTTTCTTTTTCTTTCTTTTTTTTTTTTTTTTTTTTAAGTTGCAAGCCCAAAAGACACCAATCTGCCATCATTTCTAATTTGCAGCATTGTGTGGCCTGGAATACCCTAGTAACTCCTGCATGAAGATTGTAACATCTGTCTGAGCTAAAGCACAACTTGTAAGATACATATTACAGCCTTGGCAGAGCACACAGCTAGGAGATCAAATACTCTGGGCTGGCCAGGCTTCTTGAAATGACTGCTTGTCAAACCAGAAAGGTGTTGGCAAATAGCATTCTAAAGATTTGGGCCTGAATAAAGCAAGTGACCATGTTCCTAGGAATGGAAACACTTGAAAGAGGAGACACCACCATCTCAGACAAGGAGGTCTTTCCTCAGGGGACCTGCCCACAAAACACTCAGAGAAAACTTTTGCATTTCTACACCACCTCTGCTGGAACAGTCCTTGGAGGCAAAGAGTGTGCTAAGCCTCCTGAGAAGTAGTGAATGGCAGTTCAAATGCAAAGGCTTTCAAAAGGCCCAGGGGAAAGGAGGAGAAGGAACAGTCTCTTAATACTAGGTGACAGAGTAGAGCTATTCAGCATCACCCAAGCCACCGCCAAAATAAAAATTCATTACACAGATCCCAGCATTGATCACATGCCCCATCAGGGCAGAGAAGGCTTGCACCGTAACATGTATTTAAGAGAAGATTCTTGTCCCAACACCAGTCTTTGTGTCCAAGTGTTGTAGCATGTGTGGTTTAAGAGTGTCACACCCAAGGGCATGCAGTTTTGTCACACTGCCAAAACTGCATGCCCAAGCAGGAGGTATACCAAAATAAGAGGCATATGCCCTAACACATAAATCCCTTGATTTTGTTAAGGCTAATGGATGTCTTCCAGGAACAGCGGTGTAGTTTGCCTTGCCACCTACAGCAGCTTTTCCATTCCTCCACCATCCACTCTAGGAAAAGCAATTACATAGCTCTGCTCTCAGAAAAGAGACTTCCACAGGCACCAGCTGTTGAAGGTCCACTGAGTAGAGCTTGTAAAAGAGCTCTCCAGAAGAAAGCAAATCACTCTTGCTCTTAAAAGAGCAAGCAACATCTATCAGTACCCGCAGTTAACCACTTGCCCTCCCTCCCCCCGGCACAGCTGCCTCATTTGAGGAGCAGGATTTGTAAAACAGGGACCAGGGACCATGCTACCCTCAAGCCACAGGCACTTATTCTTCATCTAGATTAGTCATCAGGCAGGGACATATCTCCTTGGGTGAGCAATTCCCTGTACAGAGGGCCTGGAGATCAAGTGGGATTCAGTGACTTCATCCTTGCAGACCCAGAACCAGAGGGCTCTATGCCACAAGAGTACTAGATCACAGACAAATCCCATACATATCCAGTTACGCTATATAATCACCAGCACCCCTGGGCTCTAATATAGTGCTTTTTATCCACTTGTACACACAAAGACTCATTCAACCTTTTTTAAGGCCTCTTATGATTTAATAATATTGTAAACCATAATTGGAGAGTTTCTCTTTTTATAGACTTTATTATCATCCCTGGACAGCTCTTGTTTAGTTTAATCTGTTTTATTATTTTCAAAAGACTAACAAAAAACACAACATGTTATGAAATAGAAATGCACAGGATAATAATGGTAATTTGTTATAGCAAGTAACACTTAACAGAAAGTCTCAGAGCATCCTACACCTCATAAAACCCCCACAGTTTTTATAGAGGAAGGCTCACATGCAGATTCATATAAATGAATCTAGCATACAAGGATGGATTAAGTTTCCTGTGATCTTCCCTTCCTTTTGGAATTGTGTGATATAAATGACAAACTTTATGCAAACT